CGGCGAGGTACATCCTGGACAAGTCACATGTTCATCACGACACAGAGAGACAAACAACCATTCAGTCTCTCACTCACACTTAGGGACAATTTACCAATCAGCCTAACATGCATGTTTTTGGTCTGTGAGAGGAAACTGGGGTACCCGGAGAAAACTCACATATGCACGGAGAGAACATGCAAACTCCACCCAGAAAGGCCCCTGACCAGGATTCAATCTGGCAACCTTCTTGCTGAAAGGCGACAGCTCTACCAACTGCCCCACCGTGTCACACAGTGCTATACAAAACATGCTAATTGTTCAAAATATTTTCACAGAGCCCCACTCCAAAAGATCTGAACTATTCCTTTTTTTCCTGTTTTTTTTTTCTGCTGTGGACCTTTATGGTCTTAATATAGTCATTGTGTATTATAACAGCTATTATACTGCAACATAAGCAGACTTTGGGTTTTTGTTTTGTCTTGAAGTCAAATCATTTTTAAATCAACAAATGGCCTGAATTAAAATATTAGCTCTTCAATTAGCTTTCAACTTCTGTGTCTTCTGACGACCTTCTGGTCGTCCCATAAACTAGGTTGAAGCTGCGAAGCAGCTGAAGACCTGTGTCAAGACATGGCCCGGTCAAAGAAAAGTCCTGGTGCTCCTAGAAGAAATGCACATCACCCACTTTTCATGCAGACGTTTTAATCCAGGTTTATTAAAATGAACTTGTTGCTGTTTAGGTCAAAACTTTTGTGCAATCTTGTGCAGTTTTGCAAGATCTCATGCTCAAGGAATATATTGGAGATGACTCGTACTGTCACAAACTTTAGCTCAAGATTTATGAAATTAACTGAAATATAGCCATTTTTTGTGTTTTTCTAATTTCCTTTGGCTGTGGCAGCCATTTTGAACTGGCTTGAGGTCATATTGGAGTTGAACGAAAACGCAACTGAACCTTCGTTTTCCTTGAAAACATTTGACTTTACTAAAGGTCATTAGTGCACGCAGCCCGAGGTACTTCTTTGTTATTCCTCTTTCATTTATTGTTTGGGTATTACAATAGAAATAACATGTTTGACATTCGAGGAGCTGTGAAAGCACAAGGATGAAAGATAAGACTTCTTGAAATCAACATGTAGTTCAGTCAGTGCTGCTGTGGCACAAAAAAGTGCAACTCATGTATCGTACTATGAAAGTGACTCGTATAGTAAATAGAGGAGGTGGAGTTCCTGCCTCAGGTTTATGTGGGTGGGAGGCTTGAATAATGCCTGTCTGAACTTGAGCCTAAAGCAGAAAATATGAAGCGCGCCATGTTCTTCATTCTTTACTTGCTTTAGGAGCCAAGTCCACAAACAAGCTGGGTGAGTTCTACACGTTCTTTGCATTTTTAAACTTGTTGATGCTTTGCAGCTCGTCTTAATTTCAATCTGGTTTAAGTTTGCGGTACTTGAGGTTTTGCTGTTTGAATAAACTTCCTATGAAGAGGCAGGAAACATACTGTAAGATAATCTAGTATTCACCAAGGACAAAAAAAAAAAAAACATACCAAAACACGAGGAAGTACCTTTTCACCATAATTTGTGTTTTTTGGCTGTTGATTAATTTGTTTCCTTTTTGTGTGTGGAGTTTACTTTGTCGTACCGTTCCTTGTGTTTTTGTTTGGATACTTCATCATTAATGAGATTCCCTGTGCTTAGTTGGCTTGTTTCCCAGTGTGTCCCTAACCCTGTCAGCTATTTCCCCTCAGTCATCCCTGGCTTCAGTTAACCATTCTCACCTGCCTCCCTGGTTCATTAGTCTTGCCGTCTCCTCTTCAAATCACCTTTCTAGCCTTCTGTTTCTCACCTATTCATAGTTCTCATGTGACGTAACCGGGCACTTTTGTCGCTGATCGCCATCTCAAACTGTAGCTGGAGACCCGGGTGAGTACCGTATTGTCCGCCATACACGTTGCACCACCTTATAAGTCGCATCAGTCCAAATATGTCTATTAAAGTGCAAAAATCCACAAATATGTTGCTTCGCTGTAAACGTCGCATCTTTTATGCATCACCGCTGACCACCCGGAAATGTGGGCTGGTGTTGTGCAAAAATCGATTGGCTGCCAAATGGCGGCTGCTGGAGCATGCACGGGAGGACTTTAACAAGAATTTAACAAGATTAACACTTAAAAACAATTATTTGTTTGCTTGAAATTATAACAAAGGTGTGTCTCAATCTACTTTGTAACTTTTACTTAATAAATGCACTTCAGTGGTCATATTCGTTGCATTTCGGTGCAGCAAAATTAAGCTGATTTGACGGTTGCGCCAAGCGAGCTGGACCAAGGTGGAAGTCTAAGGCAAACCAATTGTGTCATTAATAGCCTCGTTTACTTATTACATGACACAATGGCATGCCATACAGTTTACTCATTACATGACACAATGGCATGCCATACAGCACGAGTGCCATGTAGTGGCTGAAAATGATAGTGTTCAATATTTTCAGTCAGAATGAATGAAAACTGTCATATCTCAGCCAAAAGTTGGTTTATAAATATGAGAAAAAATCCATAAATATGTCGCCTCGGTTTATAAGTCGCAGGGCATGCAAATTATGCAAAAAACTGCGACTTATAGGCCTAAAAAATACAGTAAGTTTGTTGAGTAAATTGTTTCTTTAAGTAAATTGCAATGGTTGTTTCGTGTTGGGTTAGAGGATGTTCCAACCAGGCAGATGGTTCGGCAAAACGCAGTTTTCACTTAATCCCAAATATCAGGAAATGCGAAGGACCTCAAACAGAGGAGTTCACTGCAGAACGTTGTCGAGTCTGGCTTGGAAACGACCGCAAGGATTCGCCCTGGAAGACGTCAAAAATCTGCTCCGATCACTTTTATTCCGGTAAACAAAAAATTATATATTAGTAATTTTGCTAAACATCGTCAGAAAGTAACTGCATGTGTGCTGGAACTGCTCTGCTCGTGATTTAACACGTCTCTACAGTAGTTAGCGCAGCTATGCTATGTGCTAAACCTCCACACTGTAACACTCACAGCTACAATGTTATAGTTCTAGTCCCGAGTTGAGCCTGGGCTCTTTTTGTTTGGAGTTTGCACACTATTTTGTTTAAACCTTTATTTAACCACTCAATAATCCAGGTAAAACATCCAACAATGTTCAGTCAGGTCATCTGGACAGATTTTTTTTGTTGTTGAGAGACGTTTCGCCCTCAATCTGAAGTGCTTCATCAGTCTGAGGAGTCACAAACAAACTGTTTTCCCCACTAAGCAGTACACTCCTACAGTGGACCAACCAGTTTGCTGGTGATAAGATGCTTTCTGGGGGCTGTCCTCTCCCCCATTGACTCCTCCCAATTTGCCACAGCCTTTATTTAACCAGTTAGATCCTTGACAAATCTGTTAAAACATTGATTGTATGGATCCATGGATTTCAGGCTGTGAAGCTCCTCCATTGTGTAGACACTCCTCGTGTATATCATAGGAAGAGATCGGTGGCAACTTGTCCGCGTCGTCTGACATGTTCTTTCTCTACTTCATCTGGGTCGATTCCAACAGCAGCAATTTTCTGAATATCTTTCTCTTGTACATTGATCAGGAGTATCAATATTCCCTTTGGTCTGTCTGAACGCCATCTTGATCGTTGTCTAGCGCTTGCCTACAAAGATGGCGGAAACGTGGTATTGCGCAATACCGGTTGAGTGTGTGGTAACTATTCATCAGTCTGTCCTTCTGTTTGTTACCAGCCTGTTCCCTGTGTTCTCCTTGTATTAATCTCAGTTTGTGTTGCCTCCCTGTCCGCTGTTTATTCTCATCATTAATGTCAAGGTGTTCTTTAGCCCCTGTGTTACAGTTTGCATTCTTGGGTCCAGCTGAAACCACTTCCTTACTCTGTTTTTTTTTTATGATTTACAGATTGAAATATTTTCCACACTCATGTCTTAACTCAGCATAGAAGCAGAAGTTCAGAAATAACCGGAAACCCTGAATCGTAAGTTTGTTTGCGGCGAAGAAAATGAACAAAGTTTGCTCTTTTACCTGTATTCCTATGGGATAGTTAATACGAAAGAGCAAGCATACAGTGGATGAGTACACAGGACTGAGTACTATGGATGAGTGCTCTGTTTGAATGTGTGGTTATGTTTTTTATACAACTCATACGCATAAGTGTTGGTCTCTGTTGTGCAAGTGTTATTGTAGGAATGTTCAAGTTTTGTGGTATACTTACACAAAAAAACGGTCTAAATGTGCACAGGGTAAACATGAAGTGTAAAGTATAACTTTAAAGGACCAGACTACATCTTACTTAACTGCACTTGTAGCTTACTGCTCTGCTGTTACCGGTCAGACAAGAATCTCTACCGACAATTTTGTTTAAGGGTGGGACGTTTGCAACAAGGAAGTCAGCAGTTCTCAGCTCTTTGCAGCCCAGATTGTCGAGTTTAGGTTTCAGCTCTCTGCCAAGACTGTTGTGCGACATGTAAAAGAGGGTTTACTTTATAACTCATGAGGGAAAAGCACTCGCTCGGGACTGCACTGCAAGAGAAGCAACTGGTTCTTCTTGTGAGGTAATAAAACTGAGGGAAAATTATTATTAGTTTTTTTTTTTTTAGACCAAATCTATTACTAACGGTAACGCATTTGATCATTAGAAATATAAGTAAAAGGTGCATTTTGAAGCAGAAGCTTTGATTTATTTCCCTCCTTTTTGCTCGGATTCAGCTGAACCATGACTGTTTTTCTCTGCTTATTGTGACAAGAGTCTGCCACACAACACACGCAGAGCTCTTAGCAGCAGGCAAGACATTATTAAGGCTCCATGTGTTAGAAACACGTGAGGGCTGTCTGCAGGAACATTCTCCCTGCAACTACAGAGCCTATTCATTTCATCCTAGCTGCAGAGCTTGTATGTGAGGCTCACCGACCAGCCATTTGTGCTGGAACATTAGCAACTATCTGATTTTTTGTGTTTTGCTCTCTGGTTCTATTTCAGATAGCGACAGCTCAGAAGACTCGAAGATGTCTTTGGCACTATTTTCTGCTTCTGTCATTTATTTTCTCCTTGTCGTTGCTCCACGTGCGCACACCGGGAAAGTTTTGGTTTTCCCACACGATGGCAGCCACTGGGTGAACATGAGGGTACTCGTCGAGGAGCTGCACCTGCAGGGACACGCTGTGACCGTCATCCGAGCCGCAGACAGCTGGTACATCAGCGAAACGTCCCCGCATTACGAGGCGGTCACGGTGAACTTCGCTGCCGGCGGGGATGAGGATTTTTACCGCCTTTTTGTCTCTCAGGTGATTAAAATCAAACGAAGCAACGGCTCTGCGTGGGCCCGGTTTGCTTTGGACATGGAGTTGAAAAACAAGTTCTTTGAATTCCATAGAAAAATCTGTGAAATGATTGTGTACATGTTTGAAAACGAGCACTTAATGCGATCGCTCCGGGAAACCAAATACGATGCGGTTTTGACGGATCCTGCAAATGGTGGAGGCGTATTCCTGGCTCGTTACCTTGGCTTACCGATTGTGTTCAACGCCCGCTGGACTGTCCACGGCGAGGCACACTTTGCTATCGCGCCCTCTCCTCTGTCCTACGTCCCACTTCCACCTTCAGAATTAACAGACCGAATGACTTTCTTTGAGAGGGTGAGGAACGTGATTTTTTACACCATGCGGATGCATCTGTACAAGCAGGTAGTTGGACCGCATTATTCTGCATTGTCCAAGCGCTACTTTGGCCCAGACGTGGACTACTTTTCTCTGTTTCAGGCTGCAGACCTGTGGCTCATGAGAGTGGACTTTGTGTTTGAGTTCCCTCGTCCCACCATGCCTAATGTTATATACATGGGAGGGTTTCAGTGTAAACCTGCAAAACCGCTGCCTCAGCACTTGGAGGAGTTTGTTCAGAGCTCTGGAGAGCATGGCGTCATCCTCATGTCTCTGGGGACTTTGATTGGAGACCTTCCTCGTGACTTAGCGGATGAAATTGCTGCTACTTTTGCTAAATTACCCCAAAAAGTCATCTGGAGGTATAAGGGTGTTAAACCAGCCACTCTGGGCAACAACACTTTAATGCTCGACTGGATACCACAAAATGAACTGCTGGGGCATCCGGATGTTAAGCTGTTTATAAGTCACGGAGGAACAAATGGGATTTATGAGGCTATATATCACGGGGTTCCAATCGTAGGCATTCCCTTCGTGTTTGATCAAGCTGACAATCTCTCCAGACTGAGAGCTAAAGGTGTTGCAAGGGTTTTGGATGTTTCTGAATTAAACTGGAAGACCTTCCTGGAAACCATCCAGGAAGTCCTGAACGAGCCCTCCTACAGCACAAACATGCAGAGGCTGTCCAGGCTGCACAGAGATCAGCCAATGAAGCCCCTGGAAAGAGCCATCTTTTGGATAGAGTTTGTCATGAGACACAAAGGAGCGGCTCACCTGAGGACCGAGTCCTACAGACTGCCGTGGTACATCTACCACTCTGTAGATGTCGTTTTATTTTTATTGACAACTGCAGCGTTTCTGGTGTTATTTTTCTCTTGGTTAGTGCGGTGCTGCTTCAGATTGTGCTTCAAAAGAAAAGTGAAATCAGACTAAGCAGCCATGTGTTTTTAATCCTTAATGTTTGACCGTGTACTAAAATGTGAACTTCATTGCACTGCATGAGACGAGCACGCGTTTTATAGCTCGCCCTTTCTGATGCAATACAGCCAGACTGCACTGCAAAACTTTCAGTATGATAAAAATGTTCTTTTTGCTTTGGCACAAACAAAACTGGCTTTAAAAAGAATTGGATGTACTGTGCTGTTAAAGCTCACTAAAAGACAATTATTTATTAAAGAAAAAAAATAACATTTATCATTTTGCATCTGTATTGTATAAAAATAATATTTGTAGTGCTCCATATGCCATTTCTCTCCATGATTTTGATCTGTTACTTCTTCATCCTGCCTTATCTCCTGCACATTTAAGCTGCTTTAAATAGTGGCAGTCATTTTTCAGTATGAACTTGGGAAAAGCTCACACGTATTCAGCTCTCTGTAAAAGAATAACTCCTGAGAACAAACTTATGGAGAGCCAAAAAAATTCATGAGCATTTTTCATGCAACGTTTTAGCTACGCTAAAATTCTAGTAAAACATCTAATAGAAAAGCAATTTTCAAAAGTAAATACTGAAAAAAACGTCTGAAAAATAATTGTTTATGCTGTGTATACATGTATATGCTAAAGGACAACATACACTCACCAGCCACTTCATTAAGTACACCTTGTTAATACCCTCTTCCAATCATGTCTAATATTATCTATTTGAGTTGGTCCCAGTGCAAACCAGCAACCCCTCTTCCTGGACACCTGGAGACGTTTGTGCAGAGTTCTGGGGATGGAGTCATCATCATGTCTGTGGGGAATTTGATTGGAGATCCTCCTCTTGACCTAGCTGAACGGATTGCTGCAGCTTTTGCCAAAATACCATAGAAGATAATCTTGAGGTACAAATAGGTCCAGTCTGGGCAGCCATTATAGTTGTGGACCTGATGCTGCAGAATGATCTATTAGGACACCCAGATATTTAGTTATGTGTTGATCATGGAGGAAAAAATCAAGAGGCCATCACAGCATTCCAGTCCTGGGTCTTCCATTGAATTTTAGCCAAACTGACCATCTATTTAGAATTAAAGTAAAAGAAAGTGAAGAAATGTTCTTATACTGCCATCTTCTGGGAAGAGTTTGCCACAAGACATAAAGGAGCAGCCTGAGAACCATCAGTCGGCCTTGGTGCATCTATCACTCTGTAGATGTCACGTTCTTCTTGGTGTCAGTGCTGCTGGTTGTTTTGGGTGCGTTTGCTGGTTAATGGTTGTATAATGTGCGTTTCTTAAAGTTTAAAAGAAAAATGATTTATAAGATAATCCAACAATGTTCAGTCAGGTCATCTGGACGGTTTCTTTTGTTGCTGCGACATTTCATTCGTCATCCGAAGGACTTCTTCAATCTGAGGAGCCCACCAAACCAAACTGAGCTGTTTGTGGGGTTCCGTTTGGTTTGATGGGGTCCTCACACTGAAGAAGTCCTTCGGATGACGGATGAAACGTCTCAGCAACAAAACAAATCGTTCAGATGAGCTGAATGAACATTGTTGGATTTATACCTGGATTAATGAGCATGAACTTTGGTGTTTAAAATATAATACTGTCAAACTGAAATCAAAAGAAAAAAGACACAGGTATTATTTCTGTAAAACTCATTCTTTATAAATGTTTTTTTTTTTAAACATGTAAAGAATGTTAAATCAGCCGTAATGTCCAAAACCTTGGTTTATCACAGCCATGTGGGTTAGTTGGTGACTGTTTCACCTTATTTTATTTCTTTCTTTCTTTTTTTTTACTATTTATAATTAGTGATTAGTTTTGTGAAAATACGTGCACTTTAGCCCATTTGTATTACTTCTTACAAGTTTTCCTTTCATTGTAAATCACAGTAGTTTGATTTAAAAAATGAATGCCGTTGTTTGTTTGTTTTTGTTCAGCTGTGTTAAATTTTGCAACAGACATGGTTAAAATTAGTTTGCTGAATTGTAAATTAAATGCATTAAACAAATCTGAGGGGAAAACCTAAACATTAGACCTCTGTGACATTAAAACAAGTACATGTAAAAAAATGAGGTTTTTGTCACAAAATATTGAAAAAATGTTTAGTTCACTATAACTTTCTTTCGAACAGATTAGTCTTTTAAGGGTCGCTGATAATAAAACAGGAAATAAAGTATTTAAAAAGCTAGACAAGTCTCTTTGGTGGATTTGCATTAATTTGCCAATAGCTGACACATCCTGCTGTGTTAAAAGGTGAGGTAAACAAAGGCAACAACTTCCTCCAGGCCATACAGGAAATCCTGACTAAACATTCCCAGAGGATGAACACAGGATCCAATTTCAACGCTCAAGCAGCACGTGGTCTGGATAAAAAAAATTTAAAAAAAAGACTATACAGTCTGAGAAAAAGACCTGAGAGTGTAGAACCTGCAGGACGGTTGTTGCTGCAGAAACAATTTTTAATTGTAACACTGCTTATGTTCCAGATGTGTTAAAACACCAAATAAACAGTTTGTCAAATCAACTCAGTGCATAGGATGTTCCTAGTGATGCTTTTCTTGTATTCACTGTCACTGCAGCTGTAACAAAACAACACTCAACTTCTGTTAAGACTTGGAGCATTGGTGCGTTTTTAAAGTGCTGACTGCACAAAATTCTGCACAGGTTTACATTAACAACGACAACAAAAACATTTTAAAATTAGGGTGGCACGGTGGTGCAGTTGGTTGAGCTGCCGCCTCTCAGCGAGAAGGTCAAATCCCGGCCCGGGACCTTTCTGGGTGGAGTTTGCATGTTCTCTCCGTGCATGCGTGGGTTTTCTCCAGGTACTCCAGTTTCCTCCCACCGACCAAAAACATGCATGTTAGACTGATTGGTAACTCTAAATTGTCCCTAGGTGTGAGTGGTTGTTTGTCTCTATGTGTCCCTGTGATGGACTGAAGACCTGTCCAGGGTGTCCCCCGTCCCTCACACAGTGACTGCTGGATATGGGCACCAGTGACCCTCGTGACATGTAAAGGAAGAAGCCAGTAAAAATAATGCATGGATGGATTATAACATTAAAAACAACAACAAAATCATTCTAGTACCACTTTGGATTTAACGTTTGTAACACACTTGTGTCTGTTTCTGTTTTGTCCAATGCATAGTTTTACATTTATAAAAGGTGTCAAACCGAAGAAATCGTTGGGCCATGAGAGTTTGCTGCAAAAAAAAATCTAAAAAATTAGAATTGAAGAGGGAGAACAGAGCATTTATTAGAACACCTCCTCTTTTTTTTTTACTCTCACATATTTAACAATACAAGTCAACTAATATTAGCCAGATGAATAATAGCTGCCTGCATAACTGCTGAAACATAATAAACAAAAAAGGCAAAATAAAATGAAAAACATACAGCAAAAAAAAAAAAAATGTATGAAAAGCTGAGCAACTAAATGTCATAAAATGTAACAAAGTCAATATAAAGCTGGAATTTATAAATAATCTTAGCTTATGGAAATGACAAAATAGCAGGAAACAGTGGATTTACAGTTTAGTGTGAGCTATAAGTTCTCAATTATTTTCAGGTAACTTCAATAATTTGTGTGTCGCTGACATCTGATAAAAACAGATGAAGTCTGTAGGTGAGCACAGCAAAGACTGGCAGGAGTGTCCAAACGTTTTCATAGTGGGCCTGAACTAGATGAAAGGACTTGCAGGTCAGAAAAATGTGAATTTATGAAAAGAAAAAATTAAAAGTGTGACCCCCTCCCCATTTTAAAACTCTCAGCGACTTGAACAATATTTTGGAGAAAGGTTAAAAGTTTAGTTTCAATTCTTGTAGATCCAGAACATTAGGAGCCGCATAATCATTAACCTTTAAAAAAAAGAGTTTTGTTTTCTTGTGCTTGGAAAGTTCATTTTCGCTGATTTTCAGAGACAAAAGCCTGAAATGATTAACTGTTCTTTAAAGAACGGGGTGGAACTTCAATCACCCGTTTGGACCACGGACGGCCCAAATGGGTCATCGAAGTTCTGAACAACCATCCAGCTGGCAGTGGCTAAAACCGATTCATGGAAGGTTTGAAGGGACACTGATAAAGTTGATCAACTTGTACGTCGATGATATCACGTTTTATTCTTTAGAAATGTCCAATTTCTCCCCATCCATTATTAAATCAACTGAAATTATTTTCTTTGAAAACACTTGTTAAATTTAGCAAAGTTTTATGAATTATTATCAAAATTCTACTTTTTGGTAGGCCAGTGAATGTTTGTTGTAAGATAAAGGGATTAATTATAGCTAAATGCTTGTACTGTACTTACTATCGCTCATTTTGAGAAGATTAATCTAAAGAAGGTCTACATCTGCATCAACATGTGGGTCAAAATTATACCATTGTTTAATTGCAGTCGTGGGCCGCACAAAACCACTCCATGGGCTGCAAATGGCTCTCGGGCCACACTTTGGACACCCCTGCCTTAAAGGAAAACCACCTACATGTTTTCACCTGTCAACAAGTTAAAGTAAAATGTAAAACACACACTTTGCTCATCTTTCCCATGTGATTTTGGAACATTTAGACATGTTCATATGATCACATGTGAAAAATAGAAGGTCCATGTTGTTTTTCTGTATGGGTTTGGACAAAGTTGACTATGTACCCCTGCTGCTTGTTTGTATAAAATACGTCTTTAATTTAGTCTGATCCTAACTGTAGAGATAAATCAAGAACAAACTAAACACAACAGATACATTTTCCAAAAATGATCAAACCACAGACTTATTAACATGTAAAATACATTTATATGTATCTATTATCTCATAGAAAATAACTGAAAATGCACTCTGTATATCCAGTTTTTTTTTTCTTTGATTCTTCAAAAATTAAGAAAACAAGTCCAGTTCCCTTAAGCCCTTCTGAGAACCTGAATGACGGAGATACTACACTAACATATTCTTAAATATTATCTCCCAAAAAGTATTTCCATTGTATTTTACAGTGTCTTTGCCAGCAAGGCAGGTGTAAGTTCTCTCATGAAGTTCTGGTCCGTAGCGAGCTCATCCTGAGTACAGTGAGCTCGGCCACATCTGTATCCTGCATCTCCACGTCTCGCTGGCAGCTTTCTCTGA